CTAAGCTATGCTAATGGTATTTTCAAAGATGCCACGCCACTGGCCGAGCAAGTGAAAACAGAGATAGATAAATGGGACTATCTTAAACTAAGAAGCTTCTGCACCTCCAAAGAAACAGTGACCAAAATACAAAGACAGTCTACAGAATGGGAAAGAATATTCGCCAAATACACATCTGACAAGGGGTTGATATCAAGGATATACAAAATACTGGTTAAACTCCACAAGAAGAAAACATCCAACTCCATCAAAAAATGGGGCAATGAAATGAACAGAAACTTTCTCAAAGAAGAAATCCGAATGGCAAAAAAGCACATGAGAAAATGCTCTACATCATTAATCATCAGGGAGATGCAGATCAAAACCACAATGAGATACCATCTCACACCTCAGAGACTGGCCCACATTCAAAAGAACAAAAGCAACCATTGCTGGCGCAGATGTGGCGAGAAAGGGACACTCCTTCACTGTTGGTGGGAATGCCGACTGGTTCAGCCCTTTTGGAAAACAGTATGGACGTTCCTCAAAAAATTAGAAATTGAGCTCCCATTTGACCCAGCAATACCACTCCTGGGAGTATATCCCAGAGAGGCAAAAATGTGTAGTCGAAGTGACATCTGCACTTGTTTGTTCATTGCAGCACTCTTTACAGTAGCCAGAAACTGGAAGAAACCTGAGTGCCCAAGAACAGATGACTGGTTAAAGAAACTTTGGTACATCTACACAATGGAGTACTATGTAGCTCTTAGAAAAGATGAAGTCATGAAATTTACATACAAGTGGTACAATATGGAAAGTATCATGCTAAGCGAAATGAGTCAGAAAGAGAGGGATAGACATAGAAAGATTGCATTCATCTGGAGGATATAAAATAACAAAATATGAGATTAATACCCAAGAATAGCTGAGATCAACACCAGGAGGATTACTCCATAGCTTGGAGGCCAGCCGGGCCGTTTACTTTCTTGGTAAACTTTACCCCAAGTTTTTGGGGTCTAGCCAAAGGCACAGCAGCAATTTTGGGGTATCTGAAAGTCTGATGGTGCCATCAGGCCCACAACTGTAATTAAATATAACCTTTTCATGTATCTGAATCCAGAGATATAATTCACCAACCTATATTTATATTATTTACATAAAAATATTTTTTCTCTACAATAAGAGTATTTGTTGAAAATTTTTGAAAGCATCCAAACTGTTCAAGGGAATACAAAAGGTAATCCAGAACTAAAATTGATAGCATAAAGTGTAATGAAATCTAAACATTTTCATGCTAACTGAATTTTCCTTAGAAGTTTCCCTCACTGAATGAAAGAACATTGCTATTCAGTAGCATTTGGTGGTTTCAGAGAGGAAAAACCTGCCTGCGCTATTTCAGAGAGAATGTGAAATAGAACTGGGGGGATATTTCAAGGGGTGAAATTCAAGCCTGGCATGTTCGAAGCTCCAGTTCCATCACTAGCATCTCTCATCCCCACCCACCCCCACCCACCCTCCTATACCCCTGGTGTGGTCCTGATCTGATGGTCCCCAGCACAACTTAATGAGCACCAAAAAAACTGGGCCTGAGCACTGAATTTTCAGATGCACAGGGCTGAGTATTGCTGGGAGTGGTCCAGGGACCCCGAGCATTGCTGGGGTACCCCACACAAAAGAATGTAAAATACTGAATATTTGAATGAAAAAATTTCATTATACTCAAAGTAGCATTCAGTTTGGAGGTTATCATTTTACTGTACACATACTTGTTCTCCCAGTAGAACAAATAGTGAACACAAACCACTTAAGTCTAAATAGTAGCTTAATGAGTAACAAATACTGGATGGCTGTTCTCTTCTGTGGTATACAGAAAGAGACAGGGAAATGGAAATTATCAAATGAGGTCAAGTCCTTGGCTCTGGATTACACAAGCATGGTTGGATGCAGTTCTGGAGGTCACCAGTGTGCAGAGTTCCCTGGGTAAGCACTGGCATGGCACATGACAAGCAGCACCGCACTCTGGGCCTTTACTTTGAACTGAGGGCCCCAGTGGTTGAGAATTGCTAGGAGGGGGCCCTGGACCTTCTCAGCGCTGCTTGAGAGGCCCCAAAGAAAAATGAGTAATAGATATCCCACAGCTGCCACCAACTAGAGTTCCCGCCCTGCCCAAACCCCCCCCCCCCCCCTGGCAGCCACACCCACAGCCTACAGCCACTGCCATGTAAACAGCCCAGCTTCTGCTTCTCAACTAACCTCAGGAAAGATGCCAAAGCAAATTGATGAAACTCACCACTACAGAAGTGTTTGGGTTGAAAACTCTGGGGCCCCTTCGGGAGGCGGGTGGGTTGAGAACTGCCCCAGTTTTACAGGTGTCCTGAAACGAGCAGTTGCATACGTGGTCACGTGGCATCTTCAAATCCACAGCACTGACAGCCCAGTAGGAGCACAGCAACTTAGATGGGAAAGTAGCAGAGAAGCCAAATAGGCTGAAAAAGCAAAACCCAGAACTAGCAACAAACAGCTCAGTAAATCCTCAAGGGTTTCAATAAGCCCACTGTGAGATATCACAAATTTTCACAAATTTTCTTTTACTATTTTTTTATTGGGTTGGAGCGATAGCACAGCGGGTAGGGCGTTTGCCTTGCACGCGGCCGACCTGGTCAACCCGGGTTCAATTTCTCTGCCCCTCTCAGAGAGCCCGGCAAGCTACCAAGAGTATCTTACCTGCATGGCAAAGCCTGGCAAGCTCCCCGTGACGTATCTGACATGCCAAACACAGTAACAAGTGCCACAATGGAAACGTTACTGGGCCCGCTTGAGCACAACGGGAGGACAGTGACAGTGATTTTTGGATACTTCTACTTACCATTTTCTTGTAACAAGCAAAATGAAATACACTACTTTGTGCCTGCTAAGGGAGCAAGCCTGGAGGGTGGGTGAGAAACTAGGAATAATGGTGGAGGTAAGGTCACACTGGTGGTGGAACTGGTGTTGAACACTGAATGCTCGAAACAACTGTATTATGAGTGTTTTAAATCGATTTTTTTACAAAGATTAAGAAAATGACTAAATAGGTCATTTATTAATTGGTCAAAATTGTCAGCACTATAGTTTAACTATTATGAATAAAATCTTATTAGCCAAAGATGATGGGGTTTTTTTGGATGATGAAGGTTTAGGCAATAGTCCACTGTGCATGGGGGTCAATCCAAGGGGTGATCCAGAGAACATACTGTGCTGTGAATTGAACCTACGTCTCCCTCAGGCAAAGCATGCACTCAGTCCTTTGAGTGATCTCTTTGATCCCAACAGTTTTTGTTTGTTTGTTTGTTAGCACAGTGGTAGGGCATTTGCCTTATTAGCGGCCAACATGGCCAACCAGAGTTCGATTCCTCCGCCCCTCTCGGAGAGCCCGGCAAGCTACCGAGAGTATCTTGCCGGCACAGCAGAGCCTGGCAAGCTACCCGTGATGTATTCGATATGCCAAACACAGTAACAACAAAGTCTCCAATGGAGACGTTACTGGGCCCGCTCAAGCAAATTGATGAACAACGGGAGGACAGTGACAGGACAGTGACAGTGATTAGTGAAACACCATGAGGTACAGTTATAGACTTACAAATTTTTGTGCTTGGGTTGCGGAGTCTCCTGACCCCGTGCCTGGTTGTCCTCGCCAGGGCTCCTTGGAGAGGAGCGGGTTGAGTTTCCCCCTCCGCCCTGACCAGGGCTCCGGTAGCCAAAGACTTCCAGAACCAGCCACCACCATGCTGAGACCACTCTCCACACACATGAAGGTACCGGCAGAGGAACAAAGGCATGCGGTCCCGGGGCTGAGATCTCCAAGCCTGCTCGGATCGGGGCTGAGCATCCTCCACCCAGATCCTCCAAATTCCAGTAAGCAGGGGTCACACCCACCAACTGGCCCCCTGGCGCCGTGTAATCCCATCAGCGGCCAAGACCCAGAGACTATAAAACTACCCAGCTCCCGGAAGCGACATCTTATTATCTCATTCTTACTTTGGACAAACTGGCAGGGTACCAAATGTAACCTGCTCACACGGCAGAGTCTGGCAAACTCCCCGTGGCATACCCAATATGCCAAATACCAGTAACAATGATGGGTCTCATTCTCCTAACCCTGAAAGAGCCTTGAATATGGCACTTTTTTAAAAATCTCAGGACTAGGATGAAGGAGATGTTACTGGGGCCTGCTCGAGGCAATCGACGAACAACAGGATGGTCGTGATCCTGATCAGGTTTCAGTTATACAATGATCAAGTAACCATCCCTCCAGCAGCGCCCATCCTCTTAAGCGAAATGAATCAGAAAGAGCGGATAGACACAGAAAGACTGCATTCATCTGGGGAACGTAAAGCAACAAAATGGAAGACAGTTTCTTTTATGTTGAACTTTTAATCTAGTTTGTTGCCATTGTTCATGGATTTGCTCAAGTGGGCCCAGTAATGTCTCCATTGTGACACTTGTTACTGTGTTTGGCATATCAAATATGTCATGTCAGTGGGCATATGAAGTTATGGTGTCGTGTGGTGAAGTGATTAGTCATAAAAAAAGTGATATAGAAGACAGTGAAAATTAAAATCCTTTAAAAACCAGGCAGTAATCCTGCAGCCCCTGATGATGATCCCAGACTGCCAATGCAGGGAAGATCATAGATGGATCTTCTGCAGATACAAAAGAATGAAAAAAAAACTTGGAAGAATCTGAGGGATATAAAGAAGCATGTTCAGTACTAATCTCAGTGAAATTAGAAACAAGAAGGGTGTTTTTGCACATTTAATCCTACAATCCATAATTCAATATTTTGACCATGTGTTCAAGTAACATGAGAATGTGATTTTCTTTATGCAGTTTCATTTTTTTTTTGGCCTTAATGTGTAAACCTGAGAAAATTTCTATTAGAATGAAAGTGTTCTTTATTGCCTGATTTAGAGAGAGCTACATGAAATTCCAAGCTTTTATTACTGATTTATACCAATATGGAAAACAAACAACATGCAAAATCACAAAAATTCCATTTATTATTATAGCAAACACTGTCACGGCATTCAGCATAAGCTATTTCTTGAAAATGGTTTCATTAATACTTGTAAAACTGAGCAAGTTGTGACAAAATCTTGAAGAAAAAGAAAATCAAAGACACACTTTACATAGAGCCAAATATAAAAATAGAAAAAAAGTGACAGGATAAGAGACAAATGCTAAGCAATCAATTTAAGAAACTCTGATTTTTCCCACACTTTGCTTTTCCACTGGTGTCTATGTCCTCATATACATACCAGGTACGATGATAATTAAGAGATAATTAAAAACAGGCAGTGACCCTGCAGGAGCCCCTGATGATGATCCCTGACTGCCAATGCAGGGTGGAAGTTCATATATGGTACTTCTAGAGTGAAAAAAAGACCGGGAAGAAGTCTGGTCTTACCAGAACTTAATAAGTTAAAGGATATTTATGATAAAATGTTCAAATACTTTGTAAGTACTTTTAAAATATTTATTTCTTGACACATTTTTTTTCCCATCAGTGAAATAAATCAGACTGTATTTTTTTTTCTTTTTGGTTTTGTTTGCCTTTTTTTTTTTCTTTCTGCCTTCTGGCCCCACCCACTGATGTTCAGAACTTACTCCTGGCTATGTGCTCAGGTAGCACACCTAGTGGCACTAGAGAGACAATCTAGGGTGCCAAGAATCAAACCCAAATCAGTCGCATGTAAGGCAAATGCCCTAACCAGCTGTACTCTCTCTCCAGTCCCCAGGCTGTTTCTTAATATTGTTTCGAATTCTCAGATTTCTCAGGTGCTAGCTTTCGTCCTAAGTGGTTTCTTCTCTCAGTGTATCTTCATTTTCATGATTAGACGATCTCAGAGTGCTACCTGACAAAAAGAATATTACAGCACAAATGGCAAAGGCCTTAGCTTTGTTACACCATGCAATGAATTCCCCAACTGACATATTTTGTTACTCCAGCACTTTCAAATCATATTCTATCTCTATCTAGGAGGTTTCTTAGAAGAGTAACAATTTCTGTAAACATTTGCAGCACAGCTGTTTCTTTGAATAGATTTTTCCCTTAAGCTAAATGCTCCAGAGACATGTTTTCTTACATAACCATGTGCAGACCCCCAAAAGAAACATGTTTTCCTGTGAAAAAAACAGAAATGTCAAGTAACATGAAAGCTTTCTGGTAACTCAGGATTGCCCACCAATTTCAATCATAGAATTATGTCCCAGAGATTCCTGATGAATTGAAAATGTTCTTCAGCAACTCAGAGCTCAGCAACTCAGAGCTCATCAGATGTGGTGTTCATCTTTGGAGAAGCACATTCTTCACTGGTATGACAATCTTGAAGGATGTCCTTATAGTGGGTCTTCAGATCCTCATACAAACAAACAGTTTCTTGTGAGTAAGCCAATGGTAACACCTTTTCATTCAGTAACATCTGCACTTGGAATTCTTCTTTAGGAGTCTTAGCATTTTCACAGTGGTACAGCACAAACATGAGATTTGAGGCATAGGGTACAATGTGACCACTTCGGAACTTCCGATGTGTTTGCTCCTTATAATTGTAAGCTGTTAGGGGTTCCTTGTCTTTGAAGTAGCCCATGAGAGAAAGCAGTGGAAGAAGGGTCTCTGCATGACCAAACTGTAGGATGACTGGAGAAGAAACTGGCTGAGACCTTAAAAGAGAAATCAAGAAGATACACATCCAGATGTGTTCATAAAAATATGCATGTCACACCACAGGACATATCTGCACAACAAAGTAGTATGCCACTTCTTCGTGTGGTTTTAATCTTGGTGAATGTATCACACATCAATACAGATGAATTTCTGTGTGTCAGAGAACAGACCTTTTATAGTAAAAATTAAGCTCCCAAACTCAGAATCATTGCAGCATTGCAAGTGCACCTAAAACACTGCACCTGAGCATTATTCTTTAGGTTTAAAGAGAATAGTCTTTACTTATAGATTAAGGAAACTGAAATAGATATGTATTCCAAAACTTTCTGTAAATGAAACTGAACAAAATGGCTCTTATAAATACTTGTAAGTTCAAAGTGTTCTGAATGAAATTGCAATATGATTTTATCTATAGAGAATAAGGATAAGCAATATTCAGTACATTAAAAAATCAAATTCCAAGTATAAGCAGAATATAATAACTCACTTCAGTGGGTTTTTTTTTAACTTGGCATGGATATGAAATTCAGAATCAAGTCACAAAAGGGTAGAGGAAAAAACCTATTCTGGCTGATATAATGTGTCTTTTGTTGAAAATGAAGTTCATACATTGCCAGAAATACAATAGCTTTTGATAGTAGAAAACAAGTCACCTAAATCTCCTTGTTTTCCCTGATTTTTATTTTCCCTCAAAATCTTTTTTAACATAATAAGCAGCAGCAAATGACTACTGAGTCTTTTCCTAACTTTTAGGGGAAAGTATAACTATTATTCTTAATCTATGCAAATACAACCATCATTGCTACCAACACACACATTAGATTTAATGCACCTAAATTTTCTGGAAGGACAGTCGAATCTATGGCCATTTTAATCCTTCTGAACCCCCACAAATAATCATAAGGAGCAAAGAAAATGTGGAAAACATAACTACATGAAGAAGTATTCTCCCGGAATTTCAAACAGTCTTAGTATCTGCTTATTCTCAGTAGCAGGGTGAAAAGGGATTATTCAGACAGGTCAGAGATATAATTTCCAAAAGGCCATCCGCTTTCACCAGGAAGTGCTGTGGGTCAAACTGAGATAGAACTCAAAGTGTGGAAGGTTTAGCCCACTTTAATGTTTGGTGTGTGCAAGGGAGATCTACCACTAGATCTGTCCTGAGCCTGGAGAAATCTAGCCCCGTGAACTCTACAAATTGTCTAATGCTCCATTCCAGGAAAAAACCCAAGCAATGGAGAAACTATTCTAAACAGAATTAAGAGCGGGCAGTATAGCAGATGAGGCAAAAGAGTGAATTAAACTCAAATTACGGTGGGAAAGGTGACCACAGGCATAAAATCTCAAGAAGCAACCCATCATGTTTTTTGGGTCTTTTTGTTTTGTTTTTCTCTCTCTGTATCTATCTCTCCCCTCTCCCATCTCCCCTTCCCCCTTCTCCCATCCTCCCCCTTTCCTCTATATAAAATTATTTTATTCTCTTCCTGAAATTGTTTTCTACAAGGATAAACAATGGACCTGGAAAACTGGATGGCAATTAGGGCTGATTTTCTCCTTCCTGCAAAGCTGAGGCCACAGCTCCCCAAGAATTCAGGTGGTGGGGCCGGACCCCCGCACTGCGTAGATCAAATGGACCTCAAGAGCAGCTTGACCACTGCCCAGTGGAGCAAGTGTGATGCTAACGCCTCTGCCATGTAATGGACAGTCGCAGACTTTATTAGCCTGAACCTCTGCAGCCACTTCTCTAGGGTACTGAGGTGGGCTGAGCAAGAGGGCCAGAGCACTTCCCACTCTCCAGGACATAATGCAGTAAACATTTTCTTTTCTTTTCTTTTCTTTTTATTAGCGAATCACCATGAGGTACAGGTTTACAAACTTTCGTGCTTACGTTTCAGTCATACAATGATCGAGTATCCATCCCTCCACCAGTGCCCAATTTCCACCACCAATGGTCCCAGCATCCCTCCCACCACCCCTACCCTACCCCACCTCTGTGGCAGGGCATTCCCTTTTGCTCTCTTTTTGGGTGTTGTGGTTTGCAACAGAGGTATTAAGTGGCCATCATGTTTGGTCCATAGTCTACTTTCAGCCCGCATCTCCCAGCCCAAGTGGTTCCTCCTAGCACCCTTTACTTGGTTGTCCCTTCTCTATCTGAAGTACCTTTTCTCCCAGCATGTGAGGCCGGCTTCTAAGCTGTGGAGTGATCCTTCAATGCAGTAAAGATTTTTATTGAAGGAAAGTTACTTAAAAGATCATGTTGTCCGTGGGCCCCACGGGTGGCTTATGTGAAGTGGGAATGAGAAAGACGGTCACTTTCTCCCCATCCGCCTCTGCTAACAGGGACTCAGGGTTACTGGGTTCTTGCCTCACCTCGCAGAAAAGAACTTCAGGAGTAGACAAGCAGTGAAATAAAACAGATTTATTTGGAGGTTTTTGAAGGAGAGAAGGAAGAGAAAGGGGGAGAGAGTGGAGAATAACGTGCTCGAGAGAACACAAGCTCGTTCATAAGCTTCAAGGATGGAGAACCCCTACACACATCCCAGCATTAGACCTGAAAGCATGAAAGTACACATTGCAAGAGGGGAGATGCTGGCGACATATGTGCTTGGGTGCAAGCAGCACATGGGCTTGGGCAGCAAATTGCCCCATCATGTTTTAAAACAGCAAGCGTGCAAACACACGGAGCGTTGAGAGGTTAAGACAGCTTTCTTTAAAATATTCAAGGAACACCTGGGTTCAGTTCCCAGAAAAACAGGCTCCCCTGACCCCTATGAGGAGTAACACCCCAAGCAGAGAACAAAGAGCTCAGGAGAGACCCCTGAGCACTGCCAGGTGTGACTTCCCTAACATCTCTCTAATAACTACCCACCCATCCCCCAAAATAAGCAACTCACAGGTTTAGTTTCTAAAAATATGAATTAAGAAGCAGCCCCTTAAACCCAAAGTTACTAAGCAGTACCATTCAGACCATACCTATTTTTAATTTGGCCTAAAAGAAAATCTTAAAACTTTTGCAATATTTTAAAATTGAGAGAACATTTTTTAAAATCCAGCGTGTTTTTTACCATGAACACCTGAGAGATATGGCCACATATACTACCATTAGGCAATAGGAGTAAGGGAGAGAGGACACACACACACACACACACACACACACACACACACACACACAAACATCTGTTGCACAAGACATGTCATCACTCACACTTAGGATGAAATCACTCCTTTGTTAGTTGCCTGGTCCCTTTATATATTTGCATATATGCAAGCCAAAGTTAGTATGACTGCCATAATATAAAAGGTAGGTAAAGGTAAAGGCCCTCCCGTTGATCGTCGATTTGCTCGAGCGGGCCCAGTAACGTCTCCATAGGAGACTTTGTTGTTACTGTGTCTGGCATATCGAATACTCTCGGTAGCTTGCCGGGCTCTCCGAGAGGGGCCATAATATAAATAGAGCATAATTTAAAAGGAATACACATCAAGCAAAACAATATAAAATTACTGATTTACACACTAAAGGTGTCTCTAACCATAAGGTTTTAACCTTGCAGCCAGTAACAAACGTATGTTCTGACCCTATGAGCAACTTCAATATTCTCTTTTCCACAAGACTATTAGGACACACAAGAAGTCAGAATGAAAGCAGATTGAAAACAATACCCCTACGGTTTCACACTTTGTGGGCAGTTGGTTTGGGTTGTGCGGCAATGCTAGGGCCTCACTGTGGCTCAGTGCTCAGAGATGACTCCTGATGGGGTTCAAGTGACCAAAAAGGGTTCCGGGGATCAAACCCAGATCAGGCATGTGTCAGGCAAGCATCTTGCTCGCTGTGCCAGCTCTGCACCGTTTTTTCTATCTTGGTTTTGGGTCATACTTAGCAGGACTTTCTCCTAGTGTTGCTTGCAGTGCTAGGGAATCAAATGAGGATCAGACATGCAAGACAAGTGTCTTAACTCTGCTCCTTCCACTGCTTGACTTGTAACAGTTACTAACCCTCCGCACTTTTTCCAAGGGAGAAGTCAAACAAAGTATGGACAATGCATAATAAACAAAATATTCCAGGTGAACATGCAATTATCATAAAAATCATTTTAAAACTATTTGACTATTTTTTTCCTAACAAGTCCTCAAAATTCAGCGTGTACTTTACTCTTAGAGCATACCTCAATTTAATTCAGACTAGACCTATTTTGCTTGTTTGAGGGCCACACCTCAGTGCTCAGTGCTTACTCCTGGCTCTGCGCTCAGGGATCACAGGCCTGAGGGGTCATGTGGGGTGCCAGGAATTGAACCCAAGTTGGCCACATGTAAGGCAAGTGGCCTATATGCTTGTACTCTGGCCTCAAGACTAGCCTCATTTTCAAGCACTGAATTCCATAAGCAACTTAAAGAGAGAGTACTGTACATATTTGGATACTAAAGTCACCAGACAAGAACACAGTTAAGAGGGCCCAGAATAATGAATAGTATAGGGGACTGTGCCTTGCACGCTGTCAGTCTGGGTTTGATCCCCAGTCCACATATGGTGCCCTGAGCATCATCAGGCATGATTCCTAAGTGCAGCGCCAGGAGTAGTAAGCCCTGAGCACTGCCAGGTGTAGACCTCCTCACCAAAAAACACAGTTAAGAAATAAGATACAGGAGGGAGTCAAGAACAAGTCAGATGAACAAGAATGTGAACAAATTATCACTTCAAGGTCCTATTAATTTCATCTAAACTACAGAATGAATTAAATCTATGTAACGACCCAAATTCTAGTTTTAAATCTAAAGTTTCCTTTGGCTTAAATCTGAAATGGGATAAAACCCATTTTCTCTTTGTCTTTCTTGTCAGTTATATGTTAAAATCAGCTATTTTTGAGTACATAAAAAAACTGTACTTTTAAAATGTCACTGGGAAAGTTATGGCAACTAAAATAAGTTTATATGTTAGATTTACACAAAGCAATATTGACAAAAGAATTATTGTTTTATGTCATTTGGTGCATCTAAACTA